CACCTATTTGGGAGAACCGGTTGGTAACTTTCTAAGCAGTTCGGAGAACCGGTTGTTAACTTTCTAAGCAGTTCAGAGAACCGATTGTTGGAAGAAATCTCATTTTTTCCCCCATTTTACAGGGCTAATCCTGTAAGGAAGGCAGGAAGGAAACATTCTGGTGTTGTTTCTAGCCTAATCTTTATTGCCCTGCTTACAGAAACTGCCTCTCCGGTTAACCCTTATTACCATTGTAATAACTAAGGTAAAGTGCCCATCGACCTGAATGACATTGACTCGGCCCTGCCCACATGATCACATGAACACCGACCCCTGCCTACCCAGCTGGACATTAGGGCACAGAACTGGTTGGTAGATTATTTGAATCCCACCACTGCACTGGAGTGATCAGTTTTCACCAAGAGTAACTTTTTGCTACAAATAGCCAGGCCCCAAGCCATAAAAGAATTTGTCATTCATAACCAACACCTTGAATTGTCCCTGAAGCAGTACTGGTATATCAACAGTGGTGGGATTCAATTTTTTTTTACTACCAGTTCTGTGGGCGTGGCTTGGTAGGCATAGCAGGGGAAGGATACTGTAAAATCCCCATTTCCTCCGATCAGCGGGGACTCGTGAGAATAGATGGGAGCGGGGCAAGTCAGAGGTGGTATTTACCAAACTACTCAAAATTTTCACTATCAATTCTCCAGAGCTAGTCAAAACTTGCTGAATACCACCTCTGTATGGTAGGTAGGTCCAATTAGCATGATGGTCTGAGTAAGAGTGATATTACCACTTCCAAAAACTTTCAATACTTCACTCAAACTAAGAGCCCATATTCTATTTTTAAAAAGTCCCAAGATTGAGTGAAGTTTCTCTTGACAACTAAGTAGAGACCCGTATGACCACAATTTCCATCTATTGTTATTATTCCAGCAGGAGATCAGAATCTGGGAGAATCAACTACTTCTACACTAGGTCTTTTATGGAGAAACACAACTCTGTTCATAACTAAAGATGGAGTTTTCCTGGAATCATTACAGCTCCTAGGTTTTAGCTTTTTCTTTCCTTACAAACACTGGAAACTCTGTTAAAGATTCATGCTTAGGCTGAAACTTGTGGTTTATCTTGCAGATTAGCTAAGATTAGTACATCACAGCTTGGGTTTTTTGAATATTTTCTCTGATTAAATTTTTAATGAGGGCATTTTCTTCATAAAGTTGCTATGTTCTGCCTAGCAATACTTATGTAATAGGCAGAGAGAAATGATGTAATAAAATAAATAGATGTATTTACTTAAGGGGATATTAGTCACACATAAGCACAATAGGGCCTTCTGTGTTTGTGGTCCAGATAACATGTTCCTGGTAGGCAGTAAAAGTTTCCTCTTACAGTAGAAGTTGCCTAAAGATATTGGGAGGGTGTTTGACCATTGCTAATGCAATACTGAAACAGCTCTACTTTTCAAAAATATAATTAGTTCTTAACAAATACATGATGATGCTTAACTCCTCATTTCCTTTTCATTTCTAACAGATTACTAGAAGAGCTAGTGCAGAAGGAAAGAGAATTTCAAGCCCTCTTGCACCATGCTATAGAAGAAAAAGAAAAGGAGATCAAACATCTAAAGCTTAAGACTCAACCATTAGGTGCTTATTTGAACTCCTCAAAAGTAATTGCTCTTCACAGCACTTTTGAAACCAATATAGTCAACCCTTCCAGTGTACTACTTTCAGTGTGCTGCTTTTGTTCCCATCAGGATGACTTTTTCACCAACTAAGCATCCCTTTTAGACAGTTAATCAATTGAAATAAAAATATGACATACTTGTTTAGAACGTGAAAAGAGATACGACTAGCTAAGAGAAATTGTCTCTGGCTTCTTTTTCAGATTTTTGTTCTTTCTGGTTAAAAGGGATGAATGAACCCCCAGTTAATTTTGCTATCTTGCATGTATGCATTCACAAGGAGACTTTGGACAAAATCACATAAACTCTTCACCCCTGTGTAATGATTGTCCACTGCCCATTTCTAGATGGCATTTCTGCATGCCACCATCCGCAGCTCTTCATCTACTTCCAACTTGCTCTGTAAATGGTATTTTCCCTCTTCCTCTCTCACCTCCAGAGACAAAATACTGCACGTTAATGTACATGATGGGGGTAACCTGAAATGACAACTTACAACTCCAGTTGGTTCTGCAGGTTTTCTGTGGGACTACCCCTTCCACCAAGCCTCTGATTTGCTCTCGTACTCCTTGCTCCTTTTTGGCTGTAAGGAGAGACCACTATCTGGCTTTTGTTTTTAAATAGGTCTCAATGTAAAGATTGCAAAGCCCTGAAATTGACTAACCAGAACCTATCCTAATAGCAATAGCGATAGCACTTATATATCACTTCACAGTGCTTTATATCCCGCTCTAAAAGAATCAGCATATTGCCCCCAACAATCTGGGTCCTTATTTTACCAACCTCAGAAGGATGGAAGGCTGAGACAACCTTGATCCGGCAAGATTCGAACTGCCAAACAGCTGGTAGCTAGCAGTCAACAGAAGTAGCCTGCAGTACTGCATTCTAATCACTGAGCCATCACGGCTCTTCAATGCATTCTAATACATTCAATTATAAGAATAAAGGAAAGGACTTGTCTCTTTTATTTGGTTTCTCATTGACTACTACTCCAAGGAGCCCTGCCTCCTTACTTCCCTTCCTTATGTAATGTTTTAGGGTAGTTTATAAGACCTCATCAATCCTCACAGGTAAACCAGCTTTCTCAAGTTTCAGATTTTATTGGCCCACTTGACAACCGTTAGCCAAGTGATGCCAAAAAACGTTTTAGGGTTTCCCCCACTTAGTGGTCAATAACTCAATCAGTCATCCCATAGTTTCAATGGGGAAAAAATCCAGCCGGTCCACAGTGAAAAGTGTTAATGCATCTATGGAGTAACCAGACCTCTCTTTTTGTCAATTGGAAGAAGTATCTCCCATAGTGAATCATGCTTGATAAGACTGGAATGTCAACCGAGGCTCAGAGAACGTTGTGCGTTAAAGTTGTTTAGACAACAGCAGAACAGACTTTTCCAAGTATCCAGGAAAGATATTTTGGGATGTCAGTAAGATTGAGGGCAGCATCATTTCCTGTTGGTCTTAGGCTAGGAAGGAAAGTAGCTGAGTGAATGTGTTTCCTACTCTTCTCAAGAAAAATTAAAATTAAGAGGTTTTTTTAAAAAATTATAAAGACAAGTAAAAATTTCACTGGATACAATTAAGTGCTGTTCAGTTTTTCAGTAGTGATTAGGGCTTGACCTCCTCCCAATTTCTGCTTTCAAAAAAAGAGTCAAGACCATTTCCTTAAACTAAAAGAGTCTTTTCAGAACTTTTTTTTTTTAAAAAAACGAGCCTTTAAATGTTTACTGGGGTTTTGCTGGTTTGTTTTAGCCAGTCACAATGCCTGATAGGAAAGCAGTTATTAATAAATAATTATATACTGTAGCCCAGGGGTATCCAACTTTGGCAACTTTAAGACCTGTGAATTCCTCACCCAGTCATGCTGGGAGTTGAAGTCCACAAGTCTTAAAGTTGCCAAGGTTTGACACAACCTCTGGTATTAACAAAAGACTAATCACCAAAAATCTTTCCCTGGATTTTTATTTTTATCTCAGCTGTTGAATGGCTACTGATACAAATGAAATTCTGGATCTTTTTGATTTTGGTCTGATTTAGCATGTAGTTTTTACAGTGTTATGAGATAATTCCAAAAGAAAGCCAAGTAATGTAATTGAATTAAGTAGAGATTTGTATGTAATCCGCAAAACCTATGACTGAAATATTCACTGTATTTGTACAGATTAAAGATTTATTTAAACTGCTATAACATGCTGCTTTCAGAAGATATTCCTTCTCTTGAAAACATTTATTTGGCTAATTAAGGTTAATTATAGTTAGAATCATTGTTAAAACCAACCCAACCCAGTACTGAAATTCATAATTCTTACCTCATGCATCACTTCTGTGTACAAAGCTAATTATAAGGCTATCACTCTTTTATCATGTGGTGTTTTCCAAATGTGTTTTTATTATGACTTCCATTATCCCCAACCAATTTGCACCACAATAACAATACTTGCTGAGAGTGATGATAATTCTAGTTCAACTAATCTGGAACGCCTCAGAATGGAGTGCGTGATGTACAATTTTTATGTATTCTTTTTGAAAAAGGATAGCTATATTTGGAATTGTGTATCTTATAACTATTCTAACTTGTGTCAACATTTTTCTAGATATTCCTGGCTTGTCTGTTTCTCACTTTAGTACACAGGACAGAGGAATTGAGGATCCAGATCTTATTAATTGGCTGAGAATTCATGGTGCTGACAAAGAAACTATAAACAGGGTAGGAAATATGTTTCTTGGATCTTTTTTTATTATTATTTTGTTCAGTGCCTAAGTAGTACTGAACATTTAATTCTTGTTTTGTTTGCAATTTTAGTAGAATAAAGATAATGTTGAAAAAACAAAATAAATCATGGAAAGCAAAAAAATATATATAATGCTGCTCAGGATTGGATTTAGGGCTATTTTTACATGAAAGTTTTGATCTTTTATCTAAGGGTGAACAGGTTCTACAAAATAAAATTAATCACTCATCCCAAATGTTAGAAGCTATTTTTTTCCAGTTATGTAGGACATCATCTTCTATGATAAGATAGTGAAAGTTTTACAATATTGGGAGTGATTAATTCTAATTCATATTCTAAAATATTTAAAAATGGCATGTAGAAGGCACCAGGCTGGAAACAGGGAGACCATGAGCTCTATCTAGTCTACCTGAGGCAGGAAAGCTACCTCACAGGGTTGCTGTTATGGGGAAAATAGGAGGAGGAAAGGATATTAGTTACATTCACCCCTGAAATATTTATAGAAATAATAAAGGCCAGATAAAAATCTAGTAAATAAATAAAATATAACTACCATAATTGCTAACATTTTTATTTTAATTAAGGTATTTAAGACACATTTTTATATTTGTATTTTTGCACCAACTTGAAATCAGTTGTTAAAAATACTTTGAAATAGATCCCAGCATATTGCTCCCTTATTTGGGTCTTACAGAGATACCCAAGAATCTGACAGATTGCAAAAAATTGAAATAAATGTTGAGGCATCTAAACACCAACTAGTATAATCTGATTATGGTAAACATAAAATACATTGATTTGCATTTGGAATAAATACAATATAAATTACCCACAAAACCAAATGAAGGTTTACTCAATCACATACATGAATGCATGTCTGTCTGTCTACATTAAATAGTTTTATAAAGACCAGAAGTTTTCTAAAGATTACAACTTTCTCTTAATAAGGTTCTAAAAGGAGTATTCACATGGAATTCTGCATAGGGAATTCTCTGTAAGAACTAGCTCATATTAAACAACTGTTTTAAAGCTTTAATCTTGTTACTGGACATAATAATATTAATAAACTGATCCATGTAGTTTATTATAGCTTGATTTCTGGTGTCAGCAAGACAAGTTTTAAAAATTAGAAACTCCCATTTATTCTTTGTTTAGAATTAGAAATTAGTATCCCTGGCGTCTGCTAAATTAGCTGTGATCATAAATCAAAGTTTTATCCTTCGTTATGTGTGGGGTGTAATAATAATCAAGACGATAGCCTTGGTTGTGTGATTGAAGCCCTGACTTTTTTCATGTCAATCATATTGCAATGCGCAAGGTGGCGCAGTGGTTAAATGCAGCACTGCAGGCTACTGCTAGATCAGCAGGTCAGCGGTTCAAATCTCACCGGCTCAGGGTTGACTCAGCCTTCCATCCTTCCGAGGTGGGTAAAATGAGGACCCAGATTGTTGGGGGCAATATGCTGACTCTCTGTAAACCGCTTAGAGAGGCCTGAAAGGCCTATGAAGCGGTATATAAGTCTACTGCTATTGCTATATTGCTTGTAAAAAAAAGAGGTGCGACTCTGATCATGTGGTCGCAAACATCTTTTACTCCTTCCTCTCGTGCCAGGCACATGGCCCTGATTAAGTATGAAGCATGGTTTTTGCTTATCCCTTTGACGGGAATTCTTTCAAAGAGAAAAATTCAGTTAGTATAGTCAAGCTAATGAAATCTTTTCAGAGCGTTTTCCTAACAAAAGTTAGAAAAAAATAAAAAAGTGGTCAAAAAAGGTTTTATAGAACATTTTAAATATATTACTTTTACACTGACATCAATAAACCTGGAACTTCTAAATAGCATTATTTCATTAATTTAATATTTGACCATTCTTGATTATATTGCTTTGTAGTGTCTGACCATGAGAATTCAGCTCATTTCAGTATCAATTCGTTTTTGCAACAGTGATAAAATGTGATGTGCCATAAAATGAATTACTGTATTAAACATTTTGATACCACAATACACATTTCAAGGCGAATATATTTTAATTAATGAAACATATTAGAAAAAACCAAATGCAAAAACCAAAGAATAACTTGCAGCTCCATCAGCAAACTTTTACTAATTTTTTTAGTTTCTAGCAGAAGAATATACACTGACGGATGTACTCTGCTATGTTACCAGAGATGATTTAAAATGCCTTAGACTCAGGTAAGTATTTTTAAAATAATTTATATTATTCATGTAGATAATTATTTAATGAAAACTCTAAAGAATAGTTCAAATATTGAATTAAAATACTTTATTTTATTGTTTACATTTATAATCAATTGTGCATATGTTCTAACAGATTTCTCTATACAATTATTATAATACAGAAAAAAGCATTATACATATCAAATATATAGCTATACAGTATGTGGAAACAGAAAAAATACCCTGATGAGTCCACTTGTACACCCAGATGTAGCATATGTTAGTTTTACAATCTAAAAAAATGTTATTTTGTGCATAAGGTAACGGTTTGATTTGAAGGCCCAATCACAGGCATTTTGGCTTCTAAATTCTTCAAATATTTATTTGGGTTACATTTCATGCTCTACAAATGAGCCTTTGCTTGAAGAACAGATTAGCAGGCCTGAAATCCAAAAAGTAAAAGATGTAGATTTTTTCCTGTTCCCAAATCCATCCCCAGTAGATCAGTTCTAAGAAGACATCACACCTTCCTATTGAAAATTGATTGTCTGGAAACAAATATGACAAATACCGTTTAGCCAAGATCACTTCATAACATTGATAATTGAAATAAATGTTATGGATGCTGATGAACAATTAATAGGGCTAGGGGACATTGAATAAATAAGAAGCATTCGCATTGGTATTTACAATAGCTTTTTTTTTTGCAACTGTAAAATTATTTATGCAAATCATCATAGTACATCCATTCTCATTTGTTGCTTTGAACTAAATAAAAATGACCACAATCTCTGACTTCCTTCTCCCTTCCCTTATCTTTTCTGTTTTCTTCAATCTATTTCTTAGCCTAAGGCAGCTTACACAAAGCTTCCCTTGGTGAGATGGTATATTTGATTTTTTTAATATATGAAAAACATTAACTGCTGGGTTCAGTTAATTATACAGAGAATTACAGGTTCAGCATTGCTGAAATGGTAATAGAGCAGTCTGTTTTCCAGAATTAAATGCACTGGATACTGAATGTTAGAAAAGATTGAAAAGGTAATGAAATGTATTTTTAAAGCACCGACTTTAAGCTAAAATTCAAGTTTTAACATTGTGAGAGGGAAAAAAAAGACATGGGGATATTTCTACCAAGCTTAATTGGAGCTTTCTGAGAGGATTACAGAGGTTTTTTTGAAATAGAATGAAAGAATATATTAATAAGGATAGCAGCATATAAAAATCTATTACCATATGTAGACATGATTTTTTTAAAAAAAGAATATAAAAGTGTATGTGAATTGAAGCAGCCTAGTGCAGAAAAGTCATTAAGGCATACCAGAAACAGAATGCCCTGACTGAGAAAATCCCTCCACTTTCCCGCCATAATCATGTGCCTCACTTCAGTTGTACATTAGTAGGAACTAAAATTAGTAACTGCATAATTTAATTGCTGGATTAACCCATTTTCTGGATCTGCAGATTAGGTTGAATCATAAACAGTCAAATGACCTGGGTTCACACATGATCAGCCACCAAAACACTAGCCAAGGTTAAAAATAAGCAAGTCCAATATGCTGTGTAAACATACATTAAGATTCACTAATCTGGTTATGCATATTAATTTTTTTTACTGTAGTTGGTGTTTTGTGATACTTAATACTGACTAAAAACTGCTATGACTTTTCATTTTACAGAGGTGGGATTATATGCACGTTGTGGAAGGCAATCTCTGATTTTCGAGAAAAGGACACTTGCCCCTGAGCAGAAGCAATCTTCCATCTCAACACAGAACAGGATGTTTCCTGCAGGATTCCCCCCCCCCTTCAAAGATGCTATTGCACTTTAATCCAGTATTTGTTTACTGTTGCTAAAGAACACTTTCAGCAGCTTTCTGGCTGCAACTATTCCTATTTTTCTTGAAAAATTGGTCTCCCAACATTAAATATTATTTTATCTTAAATATTTTCAGGAATCTTCTCCTTTTCTAACATAATATTTAACAAAATTAGTCCTATCCAGATTATTCGCCATATTCACATAACATGAGAATATTAACCAAGGGAATCCTGAGGTACTTAATTGAAACCCCTACACCAGATGTGCATGATCATTAGTCGCTGCATAGAGCAGGGGTGTCAAACTCATGTTGTCAGGGCGGCATCACATGACATATCGGGACTTTTCCCCCCTTTGCTAAACCAAACATGGGTGTGGCCAGCACATGACGCATCCCGCCTACGGGCAGGGAGTTTGACAGCCCTGGCATAGAGGATCACCGAGTTAATATGCCATGTTTGTTTCCTTCTTATATCAAAATTAAATTTCAAAAAATTAGTGACATTAGAGGACAAAAGGAAAATGCAGAGAAACTAAAAAAGCTCTGATTTTGCCTTTCTAGAATTTTATCTGTATCAAAAATTAATTTCATCAAATGCATTTCCTTATCTGCCGACAATCAATTTAGTCCCCTACAATTCCCAAGAGTTAGTTGATTAGATTACGGTATTCACATAATACTTCAGTCTCCCTTCACAATCAGTTAAACATATTCTGCATACAGGACTTTCATAATGATGTATTCAACTCTGTATTACTAAAACAAAATCAAATGTGACAGGGCCTGTCTTAGGCATGGTGTTTCTGGGACCTTAGCTTGGTTGGAATAAGAGACATTTGTTCATTTATGAGAGGTTTTGGAGGCAACCCAAAGCATTCTTGAAGTGAAAGATTACAAAGACCCATGAGTATTGCCTTTTGAGAGGACACGTTTTGCCTAAGATCCGTGAATGTTTTCCTAAACTGAGATGGAATCCATAAGTGAAATGATAATGTAGAACATATTTGATAGTTTTCCTTGTAGTATGCTGACCTTTACACCACTTGGTACTTAACAATCCTTTCTTAAATGTCACACATTGTTTTATTTTTAATAACTTAAATCCCAGTCTACAGTGTATTTGTGTCTTTTTTAGTGTTGTTTATGTATTATTGAACTGTACCAGTTACATATTCCTGAACTACATATAGTACTGTTAGCTTGTTTTAAAGCTATCCATTGTGATACACATTTAAGAAATAAAGAATTATACAAAATGTGGGCATATGTCTTGATTATTTTAAAACCAAGTTACATTTTTTTTAAATGAAGGAAATTTAAGATGATGATGGTAAAATGAATGAAAATAAAATATTGACCGGAAAAAAGAATGTCTATCTGGAGCTGTTGTAGTACAGAATTACACAGCAGGGATTGTATATAATGCTCAAAAATTGTTAGTGATTGAAGACTACAACTACAAAGGTTGCCGATGAATTAACACAGAAAACAATTAAATATATATAGTGTGATAATATCATATTGATCAAATGTGAATTTATTTATTTTTAATCTTTGCCCTGCTTCCTGGGCAAAGATTAAAAATTTTTGGAGTGTACCCAGGTAATATGCAAATTCAAGGCCATACTTAACTCTAGGCCCTAACAATTGTATATGTTTGCACACCTGGACAGTTACAGCTGCAGTCTCCTCAGATTTTCGAGTTGTGTTTCCTTAACAGTGGTACAGGGTATCCATAAAGCCAGTATTGGTGGTAAGACAAAATCTGGCTCTTACTTTATCCTTTCCTTAGGATTCTACTTTCTGTCTGCTCCCATTTAATGTCTACATCAGCGGTTCTCAACCTGTGGGTCGGGACCCTTTTGGGGGTCGAACGACCCTTTCACAGGGGTCGCCTAAGACCATCGGAAAACACATATTTTCAGAAAAATACGGAAAACATAAAATAATTTTATGGTTGGGGGTCACCACAACATGAGGAACTGTATTAAAGGGCCGTGGCATTAGGAAGATTGAGACTCACTACATGAAAGCTGCTGGGGGATGTCATTTATTTATCCAAGCATAGATGTCATAAGCATTTCAATTATATTTACTTTACAGGTAATACATCTCCTTTATGTCTTTAAGTAGTCCAGTCTAGCTAGGAAAGAACAGATCCCAAGAAAGCAAAACAAATATAGGTTTTGAAGTCTCCTGGTTTTGCAGATTCATGTTTAGCACCCCAAACACTCCCACAAATAAAAATGCATAAAATAAAAATACTGAGAAACATACCAACATTTTTTGGATGACTTGATGCCAAAAAATGTTGGAAACTATTTAAATAGTAAAGAATCCTTTAAACTGATAACAATGAAAATTTTAAAACTTTGATCATTTTTATTCTGAGTAGGATTGAAAGAACAGGAAGTCTTATTTAAAATGAATCCCAATCGAAATACACTTCCTGGTGAAAATATGGTGCCTTTATCTCTTCGATGCTGTTTCAATATCATTTATGATGCCTTCCTTCGGTTGGAAGCTGTAGTTGATTAACAAACTCCCTATGGAATAGACGTTTACCATTATCAGCATGCGCTAGCCTCCCTTAACTTTGACACCAATTCATTCAAAAGTTCACTGCTCATTGTGTCTATTGAGTATTTTTTGTAGATTTCGGCCAACGGATTTCCAGTTTAATTAGCAGCTGCTCTTGGCTGAGACATTCAATTTTGCACGCGGTTCTTTGCTCGAGCTTCTTTGAAGACTTGAATACAATATATGCATATATGTATGCATGTATGTATATGTATATGTATGTACACAATATATGTATGTATGTATGTATGTATGTATGTATGTATGTATGTATGTATGTATGTATTAAAAAAACAGCAATGACTTACGATGCCATCGCGGGACACTAAATAAAATAAATCAATGAAGGAAGGAATGGAATGGAATGGTATTAGTGAAGCCGCAGACTGGAGGAAAGCAGCCGGAAAACATATAAGAAATCGACATTTGTCAGAAAAACGTTTCACAGAGATTAAGGGGCGTTTGCTCCTTTTTTAAAATTAAGCACACTTATCGTGTTCGGTTTCAGATTAAGAAATTCTTTTGTTTTTAACAGCAAATCCTCAAGCAGTTGCATAAAAGGAAACATTCTGCCCTCGACGCTCCTCCACCTTTTTAATGCATCTCGACGCTAAGTCGGCAACAGTCAGGAAACCGACATTGCCTGGAAGCACAAAATACTTACCCGGTGCCTTTTCCCGGGTTGCACGGCGTACTGAACCCCAAACTAACAAATAGTCCAGATTAAAAAACAGCTCGTCCGTTTGTCATTCGGCGCGTGAAAATCTGACCGTGCGGTTTAGCCATCCCCAAAAGGGACACCAGCCGAAGCTTTTCTGTCACCCTTGACTTTGCCCGCCAGAGGGCGCTTCGCGGGGCATACAAACCCCGGGAACCAATCCTTACTTTGATCTCCCTCAGCCGGGCAAAGGCAGCCTGCTGTGACGCCAGCAAGCGAGAGAGCGCGCGCGCGCTTTCTCCGTCTCACCTGCCCGGGCCACGTTCCGTCCTTCCCTCCCTTCCATCCTCCGGGGGTGGGGCAGAGAGGCGCTGTTGGGGCGGGGCAGCCGAGAGTTTTCCGAGGCGAGATGGCGGAGTCGGCAACCTCCGCCGCCGCCGCCGTCCACCAGCGGAGCGAAGCTTCTTCTGCTGCCGAAGCAGGTGCGTCCACCCTAATCCCGCTCCCTTCTCCCCTTTACCGAGCCTGTGGCCCGGGAAGAAGCGCACCTGGGGATTGCAAGCCCTCTCTCTCCCTTCCCTTTCCGGAGACCGGTTCGTCCGGGACCGTATCCGGATGTTATGCAGAAGGCGGAGGGCGCAGATACTTGTAAACACCAGGTGCGCTCCGAGCTGCTGGCGCGCCAGTCATTCAGCAGGGAGAATGCAGCGGCGCCTTGTTGTGTTATATATGTGTGTGTGAATATATATTAGTGAATATATATTAATATATATATATATATATATTCGAGGATGGGAAGAGAACTGGCCCTCCTTTGAATGGTGATGGTGACGATGGGTGATGGACTGTGATGAAGGTTCGTGGTTTGCAACTTTATTGTTAACTCGAACTGTGATGCTTCGGATGTCATCATCGGGAATTAAAAAAAAATTCCCCAGACTAAAGGAAAGTGTGAATCTCCAAAGGGAATTAATGGCTTCGCGAATGAAGGCAAATATACCGGGATAATGTCGCCAGGCAGGATCCGATCTGGGTCGATCCTAGATGACTGACCCAGATTGGATCCTGAATTAATGGCTTGTGAGACAGAAGCCCTGGAATAAGGCTTGTTGGTTCCCTCTGATGTCTTGGTCCCCCCCCCCTCAAGTTACACCTTTATGAATTCATTCAGTAGTCTGTATGTAGTCTTCTATTACAGAGATGCCAGGATAGGGAATTCAAACCTATTGAAATTATTTCTGTACTACCTTGTCTTGTGTCTCTGAGAGTAAGGCCTACGGAGGAACTGTCAAATCCAGTGGGAATTTCTTCTATTTGTTGTACTGCTCTAAGATGTTGGATCAGATCCCCATATTTCACTGGAATCTTAATATTTAGTTTGATTGAATCTTTATTTCAATGGAATCTTAAAAGAGTGGAATCTTAATGCAGTGTTCCCTGTTATTTATTCTTGAAAAAAAAGAGCAAATTGTGTAAACAGTTTAGAAAAGGCAGAGCTGTTTCTCCTGAAATTTGCAATCTCTGTTCAAAATCAGGTTTGCATATAGCTTTGTAGGAGGAAGGTAGCCACCTGTCATTTGCATTGAATTGGTCATAGTTCCCTAAAAAGGAATATGGTATAATATGCTTGTGACTCAGTCCTGTAGGTGGAGCAGTGGCTTTATCCTGCCATGTTGTAACGCTAAAGATGACTTGGCATGGATAATAAAACTTAATGTCTCCCTGGTGCAATTTATATTTCAATGTCGTCACCTGATCTTTTGAAAGGAATTGTGGCCTTGAGGTTGGTTCATCCTTACCATCACATGTGCTTAATTTCCCCATACAAGCAAATCAGCTTTATAATTCTTCCCATAGAAACCATCTTTATCATGGAAGATGTCACAACTCCACAACTGGCTGTACACAACTGAACCTTAGGCTCCCGTCTCGAGATAGACAGGGCCACCATATCTGGGGTAGAAATATTCAGATCAGCACTTTATGTATTCTTTATTGCCTTCTAGTGTCTGACTGCTGTTTTTGCAGCCCAGATATGGAAACCTTACCTGTAAACCTATTTACTTTCTTTATTTTTCTTGTTCTATTTAACCTGGCACCAATCAGACATTCTAGTTACAA